CGCCATATTAGAAGGGGCTGTCAATGTAAACAATTTATCATGGCTATATTTCTGTGTATGATTGCATATAAATAGTTTTTTATTGGTTAGCTTATGCCTATAAGAAACATCATTCATTGCAAATGTGTACCTTGGCAACATGTTATTTACTGGCAAGCATTTTTATAAAATCAAAATGGTTGTCAATAGCAAACTGAGTTTCATTGATGTGCTGAACTAAAGTTACCAAGTTATGGTTAGCACATTCAGCTTCACCAGCTAACAACACTGTTGAATTGACCTCACCTTGAGCAATATGGCTCTTTTTGACCATGACAAGCTACACAATAGTTATTCTAGTCAATATACCTGATGGGTACCAGCATCCCATGAAGATGTGTCCTGTCCCATGTTCATTTTCCGGATTAAGTTTGGAAATCTATGCATAWATTGTCTGTGGTGGGGAGAAGCTGGAACATTCAGCCTCACATCTTGAGTGTGAAAACTATGGCTTCAAAAATACAACATGGCAGCACCTATAACTATGATTATTTAGCTTCACTTTGAACAACGGTTAAATGAAAATGCTTCATTCATCATCATATACAGTCTTGGGTGTACTGTGTAGACAATGGAAAACTGACATGACTACTATGCTGTTGCCTTTTAAGTGTTTGTTTTATTTTTAATGTTTTTTTCTGTCTTTGTTTCTCTGAGAAAGCAAACGCCAAACTGGAGCTCAAATGCAACACCATCTTACTAAATTCATGTAAAACAAAACAGCCCAACAGCATTTACCAGCCAGACATAATAAATAGCCTCTCCCTCTCTGTTCTGCAAACAAGTTGGAACATACATTTTTCTCTGGACTGTGAAAGTTGCAGAGGTGTGAGGAACTTGAGGCCCTGCCAGTGTGCTGCCAGTGCTGGAGTGCAGAAATTTGTGTCTTTAAGACAAAGCCATCCTGGACTGTCACCCATGGAAATATAGTGGAGAAACAGATTGAGCTCTGTACTTGCTTGGTTTAAATAGGGTATGCAAATTTGCAGTGTGTGTAAATGTAAAGCGATTTGGTTTTAGAGTAAAGTCTGTGTGAGATACAACCTTCATTAATGCAGCAGAGTTGAATGAAGCTTCCATGAGCATACATAATACTCTGGTACAATAAATTGCAGTGGGATTTGCAAATGCTGCACAATTCTCCTGAAACAGCTCATATTTAAGTCCGTTACTTATAGATGCTATATAGATCTAATGCACTGCCAAATGTTACCTGTTTATATTTGGATGTTTCAAATTTATTATCACCCACCRCCATGACTGGCAGGCAATTGCGTAATTGCACTGGTCTGTGTGCATGCTTGTTTGTCAAATATAAAAAAAACATTGAACATATTTAAATGAAACTCTCTGAAAATGGTTATTTTAATTACATTTACAGCTCATAATCTTTTAGCACACATGTGACAAACTGAAGGCTAGCCAATTGTAGCCACAACATTTTATGTGGCCTGTTAGAGCTTCAAAGTTATCTTAAATTAAGCCTATGCTGTTTTAAAGCCAGTCCATAAACTACAACTCCCAGAATGCATGTTGATTATYTTACACCTGAAACAATAGGTGCACGGGGTTTAAAAGTAGTTGGCAACCAGCAAAACTTGCCATGCAAAATCTCAAATTTTCTGCATTTTTATCAGTTTCTTTTGCTGTGGCCCAGTCAAACTGGGAAGTTGGAATTTCCTGATTAAAAGTTGTGAATTCAAACCGAAACACCTCCTCCATTTGGACTTCCCTGTCATAAAGTGGATTAATTTAGAATTTAAGATGGCAGCTATTCACTACAACTCTTTAGTGAGTAAAACTCTCATACTTTTACTTTTAATAGTATTTGTGATTTATTTATTTCACATTTAGTCAGTTGTACACAACATTTTCAGTGTTTATGGGATGACAGGTATAAGGAGTACTTAAAGATAGCGTATGATAATTATTTGAAACTTTGGCATGCAGTGTGTAGGATGATGTGCCTTTCTCCAAGATCTGCTGTTTTTTTTTTTTTTTTTCTAAATTAAGTCACTGTAGATGTGTGAGGGAGCTATACACATCTGGCTTCCTACTTAATTTAAAGCAAGAGTTATTCTTATTGTGCCACYAGTGAACAACAGCACTTATTTGTGTTTCAAGGCGTCACTTCAAACCACCCTCTCGGACTGCCAACTGTTGTATCCAACACAGAGTCTGAGCTGTCACCAACAATCACATGTGCCACAGGACTCCTGCCAAAGAGATAAACTGAGAGACAATGAACCGAAAAGCTTGGTAAGCCAAGCACATTTTTCATTCATAAAGTATTTCTGTTTGACCTTTGAAATACCATTTTCAGTTGGATAATTCTGCATTAATTTTCAAAATAAGGGAATCTGGTGGTAATGATTGAGAAAGTCATTTCATTTTTTTGGAAAATTTGGAAGGCACAGAAAGTCAGATRAGAAATCGGTGTGCTTCTTATATTGGGAACAACAGAAACTTGACAAACAGGAGAAGACAGGGTTTTTTTATCAGAAAATGGAAAATGCTTAAGTGTCTGAGTGCTGCCAGATTCTCAAAGACTTCMCTAAATGTTATCTTACTTTTCATTTAATTGCATGGATTTTCAGCTGGTATACTTCAGGATTTTTCACAACAACTTGGATGTTGTGCTCTGGGAAAAAAGAAATAGTTGCCTGCATACAGTATAAGCTGTAGTAGACCTGTGATCACCAAAATGTGCTTTATCTGCCACACACACACACACACACACACACACACACACACACACACACACACACACACAGTATGTATATATACTTATTTATTTTTGTGGTTATCCTGCAGCTTTTCCAAAAATCTAGTTTTTATTAGGCAACGTATTTATTTGTTGGGCTTCCACTCTTTATCGATATTGTAGAGGATGCACCTTCAATGCATTTATATGAACAATATTATTTTGTACTCTGCGTTGTGTTTAGTTTATCAATCGCTCTAGTTTATTTAGTCTTAGCTCAGATTTATGCATTGGAACCTAGGTTCATATCACAGTTTGACCCTCTGAAAAACACACACAAGAATTAAAACAMAGTACTTACAGTTTATGTGATTTTAATACAAATGGGAATGTTTGCAAACTATTGACAAACATGATAATTTCTGTAATTTATGGTGATAAGAGTAAGTGAAATTTTGTAAGGTCTAAAAGAGTTCTATGTTTTAGTTTACTGTGGATGAAGAGGAGTGAAAACCTTAACTTGACTAAATGAAAGTAAATCAGGATTAAAGGTTTACTCAATGTGATAAAGCAAAATAAAAGTACTGTTGGATAAAAGGTTTATGATCATGTAAAATCAACTTATTTTTTAGTTTTATATCATGTTATAATGTTATCCTCTCATCAAAAACATTCCCAGAGTCTTACTTTGACTCAGTCATGCATGTTTGAGAAATCCTGTGGTGTCCTGAGGCAGCCAGACAGGAGAGCAAAAATGGCTGGATGGGACTAGAACCGCCTTTTGGGACCAGCTCATCCTGTTGGCTGTGTCTCCAAGCTGAGCTTCCTCATCACAGMGAACACCAGTGTTGCCAACTCCTGAGCAAGAAAAGTCCACATTGGCTGTCCTAGAAGTCACTAGAAGTCATTAGATGACGTCATTTCATAATTTGCATAGTTTGATGTTTGCCAATATTTGTGATCTGAGCTATAGGAGAGATGATAAAGACAAAAAAAGTGAAGAAAAACACCAAATGTGTTTAGAACTGCAGCAATGAAATAAAAACAATTTTATGACTTCAATGCTTAGATCCACATTCCATAAATTAAATTTGTGGGAATCTTAAATTTAATCTGCAGGCTGTTGAAGTTCACGAGGCTCACAGGGAGGACAAGGTGAAGAAGTGACTGCTTTATGAGTCAAACATAGCTTAGTCCAGAGATTTAGATTAGAGAGACAGTATCAGAGAAAAAAAAAACATTACATTAAATATTATATCCCGTTTTGTAAACCAGGCAGAAACAGTGGCAGCTTCGCGCATGCGTGATTCATTTGCAGCGGTCTCTCAGCTGACAGCAGCCTGGTGTGTGTGCTGCACGGGGCTTGAGGGGCTCACTGCACCACACACTGCTTGGGGAGGAAAGGAGGAGGAAAGGAGAAAAGTGCTTGGAAAGCGCTGTCGCCAAATCTTCTAAAAGTCTCTAAAAACACCAGGAAAAGTCGCTAGATTTGTCGCTAGTCGCTTTTTGGGGGGGACAAAAAAGTCGCAAGATAGATTTGAAAAGTCGCTAGATCTAGTGACAAAGTCGCTAAGTTGGCAACACTGCTTCCCATCCCCCACACCCCGCCCGTGACCCCTATAGGCTCTCGGCAGCAACAAAGCAAACAACTGGTGAAACTAAAAGTGAAACTGAAACTACTATCTGCTGAGCTCCCAATACAACTTCTGTGCGCAGCCCTATTCAAATTCAAAATACTTTTGAGGAAATGTACTTTCAGATGCCTAGTAAATTACACTGAGCCTACACATCATAGCACATGTTGAAATGGGCGCAACAAAAGCAAAAGGAGGTTCTTAAAGAGACAGAGGCCAATCTCAATGTGTTTAGAAACAGAAATAATGAGAAAAGGTTTATTTTCCATTGAAACATAAAAACAGCATTTTAATAACAACTAAAGCTGACATGGACACTTTATTATGGCATTGAACTTAAATATATGCCTGAGAAACACATAATACTGCCCCTTTAAATAATTTTGACACCAAACCATAATGAGCAAGCAAGGATCTGGAGATCTGATCGTCAGGAGGTTCTTCCCACAGTCACTGACCCAGGCAGGAGGAGCTGAAGAGTGGATGTTACACATTCACAGGTTGGACTCCCGTGGACGCACAAAAGACCTTGACTCAGCTCCAGGAGTGCATCACCACTTGCAGGAACAGTGGTCGGATCTCACGCCCCAGGGTTCATGTCGGTCTGGCATCAGTTTTCTACGAGTTCAAATCACCTAGTTTGTTGGAGATGATTTCCTCAGATGGAGGAGAACATGCAGCGTGTTCTCACTGATCAAGTTGAAGACAGGTCAAGCAGTATAATTCCACCGTCTTAGCACCAAAAAGACTATCAAAAGGAACACAGTTCATCTGCAGCATTTGTCAGATGAAATAAAAATAAAAAAGTAATTAAAATATCAGCTGAATAAAACACTTTAGAAAGGTAAATCCCATAAAGTTAGGCTGAAGAATATGCAGATGCAGCCTGCATCTGGAGTGTCCATCTGGAGAGTCTCTGTTTGTTTCTTTGGTTCTATTCAGTTCAGTGAGAGAACATTTATTCTTTTCTTAGAGCATTTTGGGAGAGCATTCTTGTCTGTGATGATTTGGATGTTTTCCGCCTTCCTGTTTCCTGATTGATTCCTGCTCTGATCATCCACACCTGTGAGAGATTCCCTGATGAGCTATGGGGCTTTATTAGGCTTTGCCTGTTGACTGATCAACGCTGATGCATCTTACCTTCATGGTGGATTACTCAGGTGCCTCGGATTATCAGCCATCAAGTGGAACCCTCAAATCTGGAAGTAGGAACCAAACATCTTGGGAACTTCACCTGCCACCAAGCCACTCTGCCTGAGGATCACTTTATCTGGAAAAAGTCTATCTGGTCCATGCTGCTTGCCTCCAAACATCCTGTAAGCAAAATAACTTATATTACAATAAAAATCTACRTCTGGAAAATATTACTTTACAACCATACTTAGCATCTTGTCTTCCCTACTCTTCACAGCAAGATGTCCATGACCTTCACCTGTAAAGAAATACTCACTTACCTTTGATCCGTTGTCTCCTGGTCTGGTTTCTCAGCTCCGCTAATTGTGTTGAAMCATTAGATATCCTTGTCATTGTTAGAACCAACTCAAGACCCAACATGACCTCATTGAGACTTCAAGCAGAAGCTCAGCAGAAACTCAGAGCAAGATGGAGACTTGAAGCAGGACARAGACAACACAGAACTGAGARCAGACTGAGAGAGGGGTCAAATACAAGTTAGAGTTTATGATAATGGATTACGGCAGTTTTATGACTTGGTCCTGCAACAGAACCATGTTCAGATAAACTGACCAATGAGAGAGAGACACATTTCTCTTCTGCTCTTTCTGGAAAAATACCAAGTATTTTAGCTTAAAGAAACAAAAAGTGTGAACTTTGAAATCTAACTTTCTAATCCTCTCATCAACCCAAAGGTTATTAATACTTCAATATGACTGATCAACATTGTAAATTCTTTGCTGGATGTGTAATGTGACTTTAACAGAAACCACCTGTAAAGAGTAAAAATAATCTTTTCCATCTTCCACTGCTTGAATAAAGAAAAAGTTAATTAAGACATCATTGATCAAACAATCACACATTTAAAATCACAACATAATGTATACACAACAATAAATGATTAAGCAAGAATCATTATTGTTTTCATCAGTTCTGTGGTTTAAGAGTTCCACGGAAAGTTAGGGACAACATTAATCCACACGGTCCATGTTCCTACAGTAGTCATGTTAGCATAAAATAAAAATAAATAAATGAAAAATGAGTTGTCCAAATTGTTTTTTTTTTTCATTTTGCACTGCTTTTTAATAAAATGGAACCTCGATGAAAGTTCAACTTTTGAAGATTAATCTACCTCACCTGCTCATGCAGCTGCCGAGTCACAAGCCCAGCCTCCTCCAATCATCATCTGACAGTCAGTGGATAAAACCGTCCTCTCCAATTGCTATGTCTGCTCGCCAGCCGAACATCAACCTAGGGGAGACTGGGGACAGTTGCAACACTTTTTTTTTCATTTGACGCTGTTACTCAGAGATGGTTTGAATTAGACAAACCAAATTTTTATACAACAAACGTGCATCTGTCTGTTAATAGTCAAAACCATTTATAGAGGATTAAAAAAATGTACATTCTTCAAAATGAAAAGTCAGATGTTGTCTGAGGGTGGTTACAACATATTATTAATACAAAATATTTCACTGTAAATATTTTTTACCATTTTTATATTTATATTATTGCTAAATTTATAAGAACTGTAAGTTATAATGAAATTACAGCGTTATGTATGTATTGTTTGTGATCAAATGACAGATATAGATTTGCCTTGATGAGTAGACGTTATATGCAAATGTCAAAGACTCAAATCAATATAAAATACAGTTGGCTTTTAGAAACGAGAATAATAGAACAATTTGTGAGGCAATTAACTTTTGTTTTGCCTATTGTTAGTGTATGTTTCCATTATGCATGATTTACATTGAAAGAAACTGGGATTTTAAAACCATTGTTGAAAACCACAACTGTAGAAAATACATCTTAAACACTCATAAGTTTTAAACTGTAAAATTATCATGACTACCCAATATCTATTTAAGTACAAACTTAAATTCAACAACTTAATATCACCTTTATRTGCTATGTTTTTATATGGATTTATGATGTTCCTGTCAGCCATGATAAAACCTCATGTGTTAGCTAAATAAGCTGATCTTGATACATGTTAACTATATTAGTTAAAAGTCAACATATCACTTGTTTAAACTATATAAGTTTGAGCTGGATCACAAAAACAGTGATAACAGTATAACAAAAACAAAGCCAGGCAAAAAAAAATACTTTGGTTCTTCAAAAATGTTTTTTTTTTTTTTCAAATAAATCCTGGAGCAGTTTTTGAATC